CACTTCCATATAGCTGTATAGACTGGAAAATTTGCTGGGTCGTTGCTACGCTCACAAGGAAGTCAAGTTGGGCCGTAGGCAGCGCATGACAGTTAATTAAGTCTGAGGCCATCACCAGTAGAATAGCTGACCGAGCGCGGCGCCGATTGAAAATAATCGACGAAATTGAGTCTCCTTCTTTGTCGGCGTGGCTATTGAAAGGTCTATGACCACTAGGTGGCGCGTTAGATCACCTGTAGAGTATGGAACGTGTGGAATTGAGTTTTTGTTTGCCATTTTAAAACTTCTATTGCATCGATTTTGTTGTTTCCAAATAATGTGGAGCAAAATATATAACATGTGTTAAACGGCCACAAATAATCTTCTACGGCTTGACATAACGTAACGTAAAAATTCGGGATGTAGTCATTAACTCATCACTGTACAGCCCGCTGACGTTTCGTCCTCGTTGCAGTGGCCATCTTCAGTGCAGTTGACGCGGTTCTATAGCAAACACATCGATGGTGTTGTGAAACTTTAGCAAGACCAAATCAGTTCAAAGAGAACACGTATTTGAGAGATTACACCTTTTTACACCAAAAGATTGAAGCTGGTAGAATAGATTAAAACATTTGTTTGTATTGAGAGTTGGCGCGTTTTGTCAACAATTATCATAATATAGGAAAAAACTTTACAATTCAGAACCCTTGGAGTGTTTTTAAATAAAAGGAATTCAGACGACCTACAAAACCTTTTCCTTTAATCTTAATCAGCTCGATTGAGGGGCCTTTAGCTGGTGTTATATTTTGGATTAACTTACTGTAGGATTTAGTATTACTTATTCTTAACACAGTACAGCTACGTTACGTTATACTTACACATAAAATGTTCACCTCTTCAACACCTTACACTCAGTCTATTATATTATTATGCCTAGTTTTACTACGTTTTCTCCCAGTTCACACAAGTATCCAAATTTTCTATTCTAAAACTAATTTTTAGTGAACACACAAACAGTAAGCAAAAATGTAGAAAGCTCGCTAACACTGTTAGGAGAGGTGCGACTCACAATAAATCTACTTATCCCTTAAAATTCCACCTGAGGCAACCCCAGACCCCCCCCCCTCCACCGTTCATTAGGTAGTCTGTCGCACCAAGCTCTTCCTCAGATGAACTCATCTTTTTAACATCAGACTTGGCCAAGATTAGAAAACCTATATTCACAATAATGTCTCCTAGGCTAATGTCACAGGTGGATTCTGCTGTATCCTACTTTTTCGTCCGACATACTACTAATTAGACCTCTAAGGGTTGAGAATTTTCACACTGAAAATAGCTTCCAAAGACAACTAAGCAGTGTGAGATCCTTAGTGACCCACAGATCTGTCTACAGTCATTGACTACTACAATTCCGAGTATAATCAATGCTACAGTCTAGCTGACAGACAGCTCCATTTCTCTCCCACACTACTCGAGGTCAGAGTTGCGCCATTGTAGACAGTGTATAGGTGTCTGCTGTGGCTGTATCTAGTGCAAGAACTGTTACTCCACCAGCTCCACCCTGTTGGCCAACCGCCCGCTCTCCCGAGTCCTGACGAAGGTCGAGGAGCGGCGACCTTGGAGTGACGTGCTCCCGGATAGACCATGGACCGACGGAGAACTCGGGGGGTAAAGTCTATGGGTGATTTGAGATGTCCATAATTCATTTGAGATGGGGACGCCACCTATGTGCGTATTTTAACCCAAGAGTGAAGGATGAGTGTAGAATGGATCTGTGTAGTTTTGTTACCTAAGATCAGCTGTTTCATCATTCAGGACCATTTATTGAAAACCCAATGATCAAGGACAGCTGGGTCCAGTTTCGAACCGTCAAAAAGTTACACACTTTTCTCAGGATCGAACCGGAGACCTTTTGATTACTAGCGAGCACTGTAACAACTTAGCTAAACTATTGAAGGGCTAATACGGGAGTATACCCAATTTGTGTAGAGAAGAACAGAGAATCCCGTCGGAAGACGCGGTGATCGAAAATCTATGGACTCTGGCAACCATCACGAAAGTTTGCGTTTCGAGTTTTCCGTTTAACTAGTTCATCTACGCACCCTTTATGTATCGTTGGCGTAGTCATACATGAATCAAATCAATGGGAAATAAAAACATTTCAATATATTTTATGACATCCTCAACTCAACATTTTTTTTTAGAACTCATCTAAAAGTCTAAACCTACAAACGAGTTGGACCAAGACCTCTTTACTGTGATATAAGTTCAGTCACGTTTACAATGATGTTCATTGAAGCAATCCACTACATTATTTGTTGTTAAGCTTGTTTTAAATTACATGGTTAGAATATGTTTTTAAAAATCGTGTTTTTAAATTGTTCAAAGCAAGAAATCTCGTTAATCTATATTTAAAGGGGAGCGACTGGTTGTTATGGGTTTTTGAAGGACAGACATTTAAATCTCACAGATCAATGGCTTTAGCAATGTAATAATGTGGTGAACCGGTGGTTCCGAGCCCACTTCACTGCTATTGCTAAGCTGTAAATCCACTTGGCTAGAAAACGAGAAGGACACTCTTAAGAGGAGAACGTTTCCTGTATGATTGAAATCTCTGCAATTAAACCATACGATAATCATAATATAATTAAAACATTATACTGTAAAATTAAAACTTAAGGGTTTTCTTTAGTAACAAATTATTTACAATATAACCACCACCCACCGAATATGGTATGCTATACAAAACGTATAACAAATAGTAAAACAGTAATCCAGTTACTGTAAAAATTGTTAATACACCACTCAAGGACTGACAACAACAAAATGTGATAGTATTTTAGTGAGAGCTAAAACGACACAGTGCATAAACTAGTTCAAAGTGTTTAGTGTTATTTTCTGAACAGATATTGTTTTAGCGTTATTGTCAAACAACTGTAAAAAGTAACTATGACTCAAAAAATTCCAAACCGATATCCTTTAACAGTGAATCAGCCTGAATTAAGAAACCGCTAGAAAAATCGGGAATTACAAACGTGATGACGAGAACTCATCCAAGGACATTTGACTTCGCCTTTCATTTCTGTAGTGACGGTTTTATTAGGGATTAAAGAGAGCTTCGAGAAGATTTTTTTTAATATGTCTTTAAAAACAAATAGCCTTAAATACATTTTCCAATATATTTATTCCCATACTGTATTATATTTTGTAAGTAACATGAACCGAACCCATAGGTGCCTAGTACTTAAATAGCTGAAATATGCTTAAGTAGTTAAAATCACGTTTAGTTTTATAAAATATGTTTCTACTTGCAACATGTATACAGTAAGTAAACAATTAAATATTTGTGTAAAATTAAATAGGACTATAAAAAAATCAAAGGACTTTATTATTCTTCTATCCACATACATGTTTCAAAATTTGAATAGTGTGCTTATACGATATTATTTACATTCAAGAGAATATCATCAAGCGGTACGGCAATATGGTAGTAAAAATAAACAAAAACACGAATAAATAAAATCCCCAAGGCTAACAACGAGTAAAATATAACTACTTTCTGAACTTCAGTAAAACCGACCGTTCAAGTTTCTTGTGCCTCATTTTAATCACCTAGTGAGCAAAATATCCGTATCCGGTCTTGGAAGACCATATGTACGAATTGTACATCAACTACGGTTAATTAATTAGTATTTTTTAGATTACATGGATAAAACGTTTGACAATTATCTTGACCACGTGGGGATCTAGGAGGATTAAGGGGATATAGTAAATGAGGTGGTTGAAAACCATGTCTGCAATGTTAACTATAATTAACTTGCTAACGGTAAATTGTAAACAAATTAAGCCCCTTCTTTATTTTGCGATTACAGAGATCAACCAACATTTATTAAAATCAATACCATTAGATGTACTTGTAACTTATTTTAAAACGTTTGCTAAAATGCAAAATACTAATTTTTAACTATAACTTACTCTAGTCAACCTGGTAGCACAATGATAGTTTAGGTTATACACTTATGATCCGAAGGTTACATGTTTAATTTTGAGAACTATTTTTATGGGTCAAGATTATAGAAAGATTTTCTTAAGCAGTGACAAAGCTGTCATTTCGAGCATTCACAATAATTCTTCACTCATTCTTCAACGTTGTACAGTGAAAATTATTTATACAAACGTAACATATGTTGATACACTTTTTGTTAACCACTTCGTGGTTTCGCGGGTTTGTGCCACGGCGGCTGCCTGGTTGAATCGAACTGGAGTGGTTACACAACCATATTGACCAACCACCGAGGTTTATTGTAATTCCAATTGTTACTTTCACATTCTTATTGGTCACCAACCAATCAAGGTGTTGAAGGTTTTACCGCTACCTCGGTGTTGACTTAATCACTTTTCGAGGTCGGTTTTTATGGATATCAATTAGGCCTAACCTTACTGAATAGTTTTTTATTAATTTTAATTGAAAATTCGTTCCCAAAATATATTTGTGGATTAGCAAAATTCAGCGTAGCAGCAGCAGTCATAATTAGAGATTACGGATATGGAAAACAACAATGACTCACGATTATTTTCTTTAAGCTACGTTTAAAACTGATAACATACGATTCGTAAATTTACTGTACAACTTTATTCATACAATTTTGGAAATAATTCATAAAAATGTTATTGTTTTTATATATTAATAGAATGTGTAATTTTATTATCCATATACATTAAGTTTCTTCAAATTCAATTGTTAGGTTGGGAAAACAATATAAAACTTGACATATGCCTGTTCTTTTACAAGAAGTAAGTTAAACTAAAAAACTCATAAAAAAAATAGCAAAAAATAAAATTTTTACCATTTTCATTCTTAAATATGTTTATAGTTAATCTAAACTGAATTAAATTATAATTGCATTAAATATCCAAATCCATCCTAAATATTTACTTTTTTACACCAAAAAAACTGTACCCTACCAATCCACCATCAAAATCTAATCTATGACGTAAAATTGAACAAAAATTTGTCTTACCTTATATTAAACAACTAGCGTCAGGAACAGTATCCAAATTTGTATCTAAACATAGTGACACATCACACACTTAACATAACCTCAAAGAAGATAACACTAAGGACGTGTCAGGAGCGCGAGTCGGCCGCGACTAGACACTTTGATCCGCGGGCAAGAAAGCAACAATCTGATTGGTTGATAGCGAGTGACGTCACGTCTTCCCTCTCACTCTTCACTTTCCTTTTGCTCCTTGTTCCTCCAACTGCTGTCCTACGAAACCTTGGGACGGCTTACTCAGGAAATTGGCGTTGTAGCATTACGTTGTGAGATGAATGAGGATCCGGAAATTCTTCACCTTCCTTAAAACAGCTGGTTAAATGCAACTTGAAAATGTATGTGGAAAAAACATATTAAAGTTGTTTTTGCTTCATGTAACTAGACGTTTCTCTACTATTGTGTATTTTAATGATATAGGAATTTCATAATTTTTCTGTTAAATAGGTTTAGGTCACAACCCTAGTCATGATCCAGTAGAGAAAGCAACATTGTTTTGTTACTGTGATATTTTAATGATTAATGCCAAAATTTGTTGTTGTTGCATGATTTCTTGTAGGTAATATGTTTGTGTCACCCGATGATGATACACTTGAATTGAATTGAACTGAATGCATTTTGCTACCTTGCCCTTGAGTGGCATCTTCAGGGGTATTCTTCCTACAACTCAGGCTACAACAACAACAAAGGTAAATCTAATAGCCTATATAATTAAGATTCTTGAATCTGGGATGAAAAATATAATTCCTACTGAATCTAGGAATAGCTCAAGTTTTGGACGTTTTGGTGGTGACATGCCCAGTAATTAGTCCTATTGTTTATATTATTTGCCTGTCTGAGGAAACCCGTTTCTAAGGGTGAGCTTACCCCCTCTTTTTATTTTTGCTTGCCACCAGACTTACAACACACTCTTGAGAGGGGTTCTTCTGTCCATCTCCTACGATGTTTTTCAGTGGCCCAAGACGTGATGGAGGTGCACGCATACTTACATGACATGCCACAGCTAGAAAGGACGGAGATAAAGCAAAGTTGCCCCCCTAAGCATTGTTTGCCAGTCTGTGAGCAACCTCTTACCTTTTAAGCCATAGTGACCAGACAACCGAGGAAGAGTAAGATCGTAATTTCTCCTTCCCAACTCTGACACAGAGGCAAGACAATACAACACAAGCTTGGAGTTGAATTCTTAGAAATTTCGAGTTTTCAAATTTTCCTGACTGTCAGAGTACCGGTAGATAGAGAATCATTTTGCCCCTGATCTCCTTAATGAGATTTTCACAAGCGCAAACGAAAATGGTGGTGACCTCCACGAGGTAAACTGTGGGGTACACTGCCATAGAAAGGCTGATATCAGTTCTTTCCTGTTCCTAAAGCATATCCGCACCTGTCCTTCTAGTCTTAATACTTAAAATCCCTTTTTTAAATACTTTTCATTGAAATGGCGACCATACCTTGGGCCCATCGGTGTAGCAATACACATCACTTGCAGAGATGAGCCTCTTTTCGTCAAACCATTCTTCCCTTGTTTAGTATACATACCCTTAAATTGATTGCCAAAGGAGAATATTTTTTGGACATGTAATTTGATAGCATATCCAGTACTTTTTATTTGTGTTTCTTCAAGTATCTCGACTCATTCTTGAACATACTATATTTTTAACCATCCCAACTATTTATATTTTTTCTGTAATAAACAAGAGGTTAAATGACCTCATTTCGTCTAAGTAATCCTGAAATCGTCTGTATGACAACTGGTTACGACATCTATGGCATCATTGTCAAGCTGAACGCAAAATCTACCACTCTTAAGATGTCGGCATAAATCTTAAAAATCACGTAGCACATACAAATGAACAAAAAAAAAAGCGATAAAATGCATGGTCATTCAACTTTTCAACACCGTACTACACTGCGGCGGGTGCAGGGTGTAAGTCTAGACTGGTAAAAAATATAGTATAGTTTAACTGACTAATCCTAAACTCAAAACGATATTATAGTAAAGAATGTTTGTATATTCTTCCAACCCACAACTCTTCAAAGAGACCACGAAATAACCAACCACCAACTAAAAGCTGCGTCTGAGAACCAGGACAAATATTTAAAATCACTTTGCAGGATCCTCGTAGAGAGCCAAAGCAAAAAAAGCACTTCTTCGTCTCTGGTCAGGGCCTGATTAAGGGTCTAGTCGCCAGTAGGCTGACGTTTTTCGCGCCCCCTCCTCCTTTCCACTACCCCTCCTCTCCGCTACCACTTTCAAAATTTCAAAGAATGAATACTAATACTGAATTCAAAATTTAAAATGGTCAAAGGCATTCAGTTTATTTAAAAACAAAAGAAAACTGATCATAAATTAATAATTAATGCATGGTTTGATTAGGAACTTTTAAAGTAGTAACAAATCGGTTGTTCAAGGAATGTAAAACTTTTTTATTTAAAATAATGTATTTATTTTACATTTTATGATTTTATTAAACATTTGATTGTATTAAATCAAAAGTAGACCTAACCTAAAATATCAAAAAAACAAACAATAATATGCGTACTTTCTAAATTAACTCTGTTAACCACCTAGGACTAAACCAATTTTATTAGGACCTTAAGATGGAATTACTTAGTTTACAGCATTTATCTGTATTTATCTGCAACAAAAAGTATCGTTAAATGTTTTTACAAATCAATTATTACTATAAACTAGCTGTAACCCACGGATTTCACCCCGTTTGACTTCATAAGTATTAATAAAACTATTGATTGGTTAAGTTAAGCTGAAATAAACAAATAAGTACAGCTGAGGTATTTTTTAACATTAGGTATATGGAAAGTTACCTTTAGAAAGGAATTACGACCTTAAAGGGCAATTTATGAAATAATGGATAGTTTTGTGCAAGGTTTCTCGTCATTACGAATATTTTAAATATATACTATAATGGGGGTATGACTTGTAGTTTTCTCAAAAGTTCATCGGTACTTTGGGCTTTATATAGGGATATAATGATTATGAAAATCTGCCGAACGCACCCTTCCCCACCTCCTTCCCTATCTGCGCGAATCCTTTTTTGGAATAAAACATCTTTTACGCCCCCGGTCCCAACTTTAAGTCTTAGCTGTCTGGCGCCCCCCTAAAACACTTGGCTGACTGGCGCCCTAGGCTCCAGCCTAATTAGCCTAATGGGTAATCAGGCCCTGTCTCTGGTTAACTCTGCGGATAAATGAGACTTAATATCACTGACTTTAGTGAGATATTTGTAAACTAAATTAAATAGATCCATGACCGTATTTAGCCATTTATCACTCATCATTCACTCTATCATCACTCTAACTCCAATCCTCTTTTTCTTGGCTTTTAGTATCGTACAATAGCAAAGAGACACTTTTTAAGGCTTATAGCAACAATAGATATCGTGATTTACTCTTTACTGTAATTCTCAAAGGAATCACAGTGTGTAAAGAGAATTATCCATTGTCTATTTCACAACTCCTCCACACACTCATTCTAGCTTCCTCAGGGAGAAAGACATTTCAAGTCTCAAAAAGCACAATGTATAATGGACAACCTAGGGAGGCTGAATTTCCTTATGGTAAATGGAATTCCCCCTGATTCTTTTCTGCGTGAAAAGACTTCCTGATAGTTGGGGATGAACACAGCTCTACCCAGGGTTGCCAGCTTAGGTTAGAGAAAAATTTGTACATGTCCCCCCTCCCCACTGGATTAACATAGGCCTAAATACGGGCATAAGGAACCAAAATCGGGACAGGTGGCAACCCTGGCTCCATCATATTTGCTCTGAGATGGGTAAATAATAGGATAGATGTTCTGAGTTAGGCTTGTTGAACAAATCTAAGGTTCTTGGTCTCATGGTAGACAGAGGTCTGAATTTGTCAGCATGTAACACATGTGTCAATGCCATGCAGTCCCTGAGGTCCCGGGTTCAAATTCCACCAATCACCAGTGGATTTTATCAAAGAGATAACGCCACAACCTCTAGACCAATCCTGAAGTAACTAAAAAAACAATCCGGGGCTACAGGCTTCACTTCTCAAAACTTTCTTTCTTCTTTACAGTTTGAGAGAAAATTTTCTTTTATTTCAGACCCTAAACGTTTAATAGGCACCATTTCCACTAAAATATTCATCATTATTTAGTAGATTCTCCAGTGTTATTTTTTTATAATAATTATGTTTGCTTGTAGTTAGAAACCGCTGTTAATTGTTGAATCAAAGGTATAATATACAAATAATTACTTATAAAACTTATTGAGCGGAGCGAGCGAAGCGAGCGTAGCTCTTTGGGATCAACTTCAATGCAACAAATAAAGCAACATCACTCAATAACGGCTGAACACATTTCAGCTAAACTTAACAAGATTACTTAGACTAATAGTGAGATGGTTAATAAACAAACAAATTTCAATTAGATAATGGTAATGCAATTAAAAACGAACTTAAAATCTCCAAATTTTAACATTAGGCTTATGGGACTAAAGTAGCCATATGACAGTTTTTTGTTTACAAGAAAAATGTAAACAAGAGACCCATAAGGTATTTCTGAACTTTCTAGACTTTTCTTTTAAACGTTTTTAAACCATTCCTATGATTTTAATAAACAAGAAAATGCCGTTAAAACATTTTTTTAAGGCGCGGAATTCACTGAAAATCGATCAAATATACGGAAATACTTTCTCAATGCGCGGAGCATAAACAAGGAGCGGAGGGATACGGACCAGTGACTACTTTCTTGGGAACCTATTTGTGTTGCCAGCTGATTAGAAACAGCCAATGTTAGAAATCAGAATTTAATAAGCGATATATCAAACTGCATCGAAATCGATATTTAATCCGATAATACATCACTGGTTATATTATGTTGAATTACTTACATCGACGGTGCAGAAAGTTATTACACTTATTAATAAAACGCATATTGAACACTGATCTAATTTAGGCATGTGGGGAAGGTAGGTCGGGGTTTATGAGTATTCGTTATACATTCAGTGTTTTTTGAAGTAAGGTTAGATTAGGGAGGTAAAGTGTAGGTTATAGGTAGGTGATCGAGTTGTTTATTTGTGTTGCACCATATAATTTTTATCTTTTGGAATAGTTGGTAAAAACAACAAGATGTAGTAAAAACAAATCTGAATTATTATAATTTTAATCAATAAAACCAGCATTAGTACATCTATTGACTTTTTTACATTTAGTTACTTATACAAATATCAAATCACGTTTGTTCCGCTCAACTGGCTTTCACCTCTCTGAAAGCAACCCTAGTTTATTTACTTTTATACAAAGTTGTTAACATTACTGAACTTAAAAAAGTATAAAACTAAGTAACAAGAATATTCTTCTGCAAAAAAACTTCAAAAAGTATTCTTTGTTTATTCATATACTCACACAAAACACAATTTTTAAACTAGACAAAATAAAATGTTTGTTTGAGATAGAATGTTAAAAATGATTTTAAAACATTTTAAATAATACTGATTGTTTAGTATAAATAATGTTAAAACCATTAACTATTTTATCCTAACAATTTCGCTAACATTTAGAGCAGCCAAAAACGCCTATAGAAAGGATGGTGGGGATATAAATGTTCCATTTACATAAGGAACAAACAAAAGACAATTATATTTAACCAATCACAGTTAAGGATTACATTTGTATCAACTAACATTGAAAGTACCAGAAATGTTGAAACTAACATTTACTACAATCTATTTTGTGAGTTTGCTCATTAATCATTAATACTTTGTACATTATTTACGGTACTTAAAAGATATATCACAATCTCAAATCCTAAAATTAAAATTAAAACACACGCATGAGTAATAATAACAGTCTTAGTAAGTTAAGCAACACTGATCAAAAGTAATAGGCCTAGCATGTTAATAAATCAGTGGTGATTCTTAAAGGACAAAAAGTTAGTGTTTTTCAAATAGAAATATGTCACAGAATTAAGTCACGCTAAGATTTTGATTGATTTGCAAATAAAAAAATGACAGAAAACTTAACAAACTTCAAGTAATTCTCAATGCGAAACATTTCTTTTGCAAAAGAAAATATCTACAAATTTTATTTTTTTCCAAACAACATTTCCTCTGGTAATGCAAAAAAATTGGCATTCAACAGACAATTAAAGAAAACTAGTGCACCTGTTGCTCGAATTCGAGCAATTGCAAAGTATTACAGGTGTTATTTCAAAACGAATAACAGTCGTATTTTCCGATTACGGTCAACTCGAATGTAATCAATCACTTCACTCCAGTTATCGAAACTGAAAACGAACTCACACTGAAAAAGAACTCTCGTCAGTGTATCATGTGTTTACTATGAACAGCTGTAATTAATACAAATTATTTGTCTGTATAGGTAAACAAAATCTTTTCTTCATAAGAAATACATTGGTGTTTTGATGGCCTGTGGGGCAAAGCCCAAGGACTCTTATTACATGAATTAGTGAAAGGGGGCATCTTCACAAAAAATACTTAATTTTGACACATCGTTTGTAAAAATATGTCCATTATTAACAGAGGAGTAGTGTTTCGTAGAAATCGCCTTCACATATTATGTATAAGGATGTCATGCGTTTCATAATGTTACAGTATCTTAACCAACGAGCAATACTACTGAAACAAGTGAAGTGAAATACTGCTGAAACGTGTATTGGGTCACAGATTTGTGCCTAAATCTGACGATGTCTGAAGTTGGGTAAGAACACGCTACAGGTACTGGCAGGCAATATACCGTAGTGTCTTCTTAGACAATCTAAAAAACCTGTATGATTCTCATATTAACTTATTACATTTTACAAAAAGAAAAAAATGTTGTAAATCTGTTGATACAATGGTGTTTTTCTTAACTATTCTAAATTACTTGTTGTTACTGGTTGTTAAATTACTATAAACATGCATCTATCATCATTATAACATTTTTTATTTTATGCCTACGTTTAATGTCATTGTTATAAGCGCCCCTTTAAAAACAATTGATAATAATGTTTACGTAGTTAAATTCGTATCAGGTAGCTTGAGCAAATAACCCCCGACCTCAAATAAATCCTCACTTTTTTTAATTATCTACCGTTAGATTTAAAATCAGCTTGTTGTGTGTGTTCTACGGTCAGAGATATCGGTATTGAGTACACGACTAAGACAGTTAAATTTCAACCTTTTCCATTCACTTGCCAACCAATTACTCCACAGAGACAATAACATTCCTTATAACTGAAATTCACTTGAAAGCGCAATACAGGGTTATGGACAGGGTGTGTTCCAGTAGTATAGTTGTTGATCTGAACTCTTTGATCCACCAGTAAGTTATTAAACCAGCACAATAGAGTCTAGTACACCAGTCCAAGTATTAGTTTTTTTTTTAAATTCACAGTACGTAAAAAATGATGACTTGCAACACCAATTTTGTGCGTTTGAATAGTTTATAAGAATTTATGAGAAAAAATATATAATTACCTAAATCATTGCTTTACATAACTTCTTTGATAAAATACCTGCAAGAGAAGAGAAACAATCGTTAGTTTGTGAAATGTGTTTCACTCCTTTTAGAGCTATTTAGAAGCCATATCTTCACAACCAGCATGAAATTGAAATCTAACACCTACAACAATTATTCATGATTCATAATAAGATGAAATTTAACTAAATAATCAAGTATTAGTGATGTTCTTATTATAAGCTCTATAACCCGTAACTGGCCTTTACCATTTAATCTTGAAAGAAGACTTCAGTATCCAAAAGTCAATAATTTCGTTAATCGTTTTAGTATCAAAATTAAAATACGTAATTACTTTCAATTGACAAGACCATTAACAAAAGTTCCAAGTTTGTTTAATTGGTACAGTTGATATTCAATGTACTATAAACAGTTTGAGTGAAGCTCTTATACTACTGTACACCCCTGCTTTTGTTTTCCACATACTCCTCCGTAACAGCTGAAGCGATTCGCATTAAATTTAGCACTGTCATAGTAACCAACCATGGGAAGATATAAATCTGAAGCGGTACAAATCAGACTACTCGGCTTTCCCCTACGTGAATTTAAACTTTTAGAAATTTAACATAGGCCCTATCGGTTGATCACATCACATTTGTGAACCAGGTACAGCATTGACTTTGGATACTGCAAGTAGACATTCCCTTTATGTAAACTCTAGCCCATTGGGAACAATCAATTCATAGTTACATTTCCCTATGCTTGCTCTGCTCAATTTTGCAAGCAGACAACTGCATTGTACTTCTAGTTATAGCCTAAATTAAGCTGACCTCTTCAAAAGTTTTTACAAAAAAAGTTTCAATAGATTCCAAAACAAAATTGTGCAAAATTCAACACAATGGTCTTCTTTGAATTAAGTTAATTTAAATTTGGTAATGGTTAGTTTACAATGTTTAAGAGACTATTGCGGACATTTTCCATCACTATAAGTGAAAATAAGTGTTTGGGATCTGGAATCTGATCCCGGCCTCCAGTGAGAAATTAATTACATTTAAAAATAAAATGAAAACAAAAGCATTTAAAAAAAAGTATGACAGTAAAACAACTAATACATAGGTACATGACAGTAGTAAGAAGGTAGTGTGCAAGTAAGTTATTCATTTTTGTCATGAAAACTTTGTTTTTTTAATCTATGGAAAATGTCCACAACGACCTCTAAGATAACTATATAGTCTTAAGTCCCAGATCTTTAGTTTCCTGGTGTAAGTGTTAACCTTCAGCAGACGATGAGGCTATTCACGGGCTGAACAGGTTGAGCCAGTCTCAGGAGTGGCCACTGGTCAGAGTGTAGTTCTTGTCGAGTAGTTTGCTGGGGGAGGGATACTTGAGCAGACTAGGGGGTAGTGGTGTGGGGAACAGAGCGGAGAGGCCCATCAAAGAAGCTGGCGTGGGGAACTTGCCTGGAACATAACAAAAACTTAGTGTAAACCAAAAAGCAAATGTTTATGTGTTTTTGTTAGTGAAGTGTCAGAGCTGAACCTCGAATCCACTAAATCCTGTGAAAGATTTGAAATTGTGAGATTCCACGACCGAATTTGAGAATTGGATCTCAAATCTCATATTTAGTTACAACTGTCATTTATCCGTGCTACCACAGCCTGTGCGTTAATTAATGGTGATAATAATAAATAAACCAAAAACTAGGACATTTTCTACATATTTAATTTTTTTAAGCATTAAAACAATAATTTGGGGATTTTTGCGACGCTATAATCTCAAGAATGCTCTTGATTATTGCTGTAATTTTAAGAGATTGTGAAAGTTGATTTTTGGCAATTTTGGTGTGAACACACCATTTATCAGGGGTGTAAGGTAAGTTGAATGAGTATTATGCACCTCAAGCCGGACCTGAGTCTATGGCACAGAAAACAACTATTAACACATTAGCTACCAACTATACTCATCCCTCAGTTATAGAGAAGTGTGACGGTCGGTAGGAAACGTGTTAACACATTAGCTACCAAGTATACTCATCCCTCAGTTACAGAGGAGTGTGACGGTTGGTATGGAACGTGTTAACTAGAGCTAACACATCATTAATATTTCACTTTGCTGACAATATTTTTAACCGGGATGGATTTCAGAAGTAAATTTAAGAATTGTAGATTTAAAAAAAGTTGAAGGCCAACCTATCTTTATAAACAAAATCTATTAAATATGTTTTCACATGTTACATTTACCTGCACTGAACAGAGCGTTGGCAATTTCCGCACTAAACAGGCTGGCTCCGGCTTTTGGTATGTTGAGACCAAGAGCAGAGGCGGATGAGGTAGCGGAGGACGTAGAAGGAGAGGGGGTGGGGGACGGAGAGGCGGGCACAGAGGGGGGAGATGTCTCTCCTGTACTGCCCGGCATGACCAGCTCACTCAGATACGCCCACAGCTTGCCATCACTCTGGTCTCGTGGGAACTTGGACGTCAGTGTCGTCTAGAAAATAAAATATACGTCAAAATTAAAAGCTAAGAAAAAGATTCAATTAATTGTTCAGGTGAGTTGATGTCACTACTTTTGATCAGTTCACTGTATTGGCTCACTCCTTGCTTTGCTGGATACGTTCCACAGTCAAAAGAAACAGCCATTCTCTTATATAAAAATTCCTACCGATTATGATAACCATTGTAGCAGTAAGAAAACAATATTGCAATTGTAAGAGTTACACACACTTACCTTCAGTTTGTCCAGGTAAGTTACGTTTCCTTTGTATTTTTCCCCAAATTTGACAACATCTGGATCGCCTTTGTAGTAATCCGCACATTTTTTCTAGAAAAAATGTTTAGGTTTAGTATCCTACTAATATTATAAATGAGAAAGTTTGGATGTATAGATGTATGGATGTATGTATGTTTGTGACAAGTAAACACAAAAAATACTGGTCCGATTGGGCTGAAATTTGGCATGATGATAGCTCACATTTCCGATTAACATATAGGCATATTCTTATCTCAATAATCCTTTTGGGCTCCGCCCCAGTGGCTCTGCAGTTCCCCATGTTAACCTTATGAGTATTCATATTTAAAGGGAATTAAAGAATTTAGCCAGCTGTTTCAACTAAAAGAGTTGGTTCTATGATATGCAAAAGCATTACAAATTTATAAGATTTACCAACAGGTTGCAGCACTATTATTTTTTTCATTATTTATGAAAACAGCTAATTTGAACTAAGCAGCAACAAAAAACTGTGATACACAATGAGAACTGTCAAAGTAGGATTGTTTACAGTTATGTGTTTTAGATTTCATGAATCTCTTATATTAATACGTGAGGGCTGTTTTTTGTGAACAAAACTCCTCCGTTATTTCTTGACTGTTTTGAACGTTTGATGTGTCAAATAATTCGTCTCAGTTCGTAGTTTTGCATAAAGGTTTTAGAATTTTAAAACTCTTACCCTTAAGGGCATGAGACGCTCTCAAAGGTCGCATTTTCCCCCATAAGAATTACATTGAAAACAAATTTAATAAAAACAAAAACAGCTGTACGGTATATAAAAAGGCACTCATCAGCTTTTTGGAGTTGTTGAAATATTGAAATATTGATGTTTGTAATATTTAAGAGGTTATAGACAAATCTTAACAGTCACAGTCAATCAGTTTTGTTGGAAGAACAGTCTCTTATATTAATACGTGAGGGCTGTTTTTTGTGAACAAAACTCCTCCGTTATTTCTGGACCGTTTTTAACGTTTGATGTGTCAAATAATTCGTCTCAGTTCGTAGTTTTGCATAAAGGTTTTAGAATTTTAAAACTCTTACCCTTAAGGGCATGAGACGCTCTCAAAGGTCGCATTTTCCCCCATAAGAATTACATTGAAAACAAATTTAAAAACAAAAACAGCTAAACCCATCAGCTTTTTGGAGTTGTTGAAATATTGAAATATTGATGTTTGTAATATTTAAGAGGTTATAGACAAATCTTAACAGTCACAGTCAATCAGTTTTGTTGGAAGAACAGACAATTTCTTGAGTTCAAAGGAGAAATATTGAAAACAAGAGGAGGAGACAATTAATAGGAAATCTTATATGTATGAGAAGAGTAGAGGAGAGGCCTGCTCTCAGAGTAAGGAATCCAGGTACACATTCACTTAGGGAGATGAATAATTTTTGCCAGTTATGCTAAGCAACTTATTTTGGAAGTAAAAAAAACTATGAAGAATATACACATCATGTTATCACAGTTGTAAAGTAAACCTACCTAAAGTCAGATCAAATAAATACACGCAAGAAATGTTTACTGGTACCAGCTTTAAGTTGGGAAACATTTGTAGAAAACACTAAAAAATAAGGCCGGGTCCAAAAAATGCGAAAATATTTTTACAAAAAGCGTTTATTATTTCAAAAGGAGTTCAATTTATTATTAAATAGCGTGAGTATTTCAATCAGTTACATAAGCATTTAGTCGAGTCTTTCAAACTCATCGATAATTATGACTGCCATTACTGTAGTTTTAAAATATCTTCTGTATAATACCGGTACTTGAAAATTGCTTGATTTAGAGCAACAGGTACACTAGTAATTTATGATATTTTGTGAATTTTTAATAATCTGTCTTTCTCTATTGTGTAGGTGAAGTAGTAGAACATAATGGCTATGGTAGATGTGTAATACTATCGCATACCGTAATTTTGAGGAAGCAAATTTTCTCAAACCGTGTTTTCTCACATCGCAAACGCAAAGATCGGGTATAACTGCAATAAGCATTTTATACTTATTTGCCAACCCCGTACGAAGGACGGGTACTCTGCTAGTTTTTTCATATTTTAAGAACTAAAGTCAACACCAACATACTGATGGTCTATACGTATTTAGGAATACTTAATACTTGATGTACTTGAATAGAGTATGCTCAAGATGTGTTCTTAAGTAAATATCAAATTCAATATAGTTTGATACTCATTGCTATCAGTACTCATTTCTTCTATGTTGAAATTTACATTTGTAAATATTTTATTTTACATCTGTTCTATTCATTGTTTTCTTTGTTATTATAATTTACAGTCCACTTAAAAGCTTTCTTAGACAAACAAAATTTTGTCGACACTATTTTTACCAAGAGTACATGAACAAAACACGAAAAACTAGATTGGTACATTTAATTAACAAATTGTATAAAAAATAAAATGTTAACAATTATTAGTGTGTTTTCGCAGGGAAATTGATGTAGTTGTATGTTACCATCTCATTGAGAGTGTCCTGGGTGAGATACTGGTCCTGAATCACACTGTAACTCATCAACATCGGCTTGCCGTACTCGTGAGGTTTGTTCTCAGGGGGTGGAGCGACCCAATAGCTGACCACAGTAGACTCCAGACTGAGGCTGTCCTTGTTGTAGGGTGCTGTGACAGACACAGACTGTTAGGATTTAAAACTGAGAACTCAGTAGATGAAGTATATATATGATAAATGTTTATACTAACTGACATGTTAGATTAAGCATTTGGTTAAGATTACATTAGAAACACCATTACAGTAGAGTCCCAGTTATTTGAGCTTGTTGTTGGTAAGACATTACACCAAGGGCAATTACATCGGCACAATCACTTTTGCCACCCGTGCAAGTACTTATGGATACTTTAAGGCTTAAAACATCTGCACTTGACTGTACTTTCTGATTGTTTTCTTTGTGTTGCACGTGTTACAGTTTGTGAACTCTCATTTGCATTTGCCTCTGCAATTTAGTTTAGTTGCCGTGTAAGGGTATATATAAATACTTAGGCTGAATGCTATGGTATTGTTTTTTCTCATATTTTCATTTACGTAGTTTTTCTTACATTTTTTATATTAATTTCTATGATGATTCCAGTAGAGAAACCAACTTAAAGCCTTGAATAGGTTGAAAACAAAATATCTTCATTATATTATGATTTTTAGCATGTTTACTGAGACGATCTTTAAGGGTATCCAACCTATCCGCGCCAAGTTTAATCGAGACTCTACTGAATTATTAAGCAACACTATGAAACTTTCACTCAAAGCAACGAACTATTTCTGTAATGGATGACGATGGTATTCGACTCACAACATATGACTCCCACGCAGGGAGTGTAGCTGGCGTCATTCCCCCCTCTCATGATGATCTCATAATCCAGCTGAGTGTCAATGTCTCGCAGGGTGGGGGTAGCAGGAGACGAGGGGTGACTGTGATACCTGCCAACAACCACGTCAACTAAACTCTTCATAGAAACACATTCTGTTTGGAAATACAGTAGAACTCCGATTATCCGAATCAATAGGGACCAGACCCCATTCGGATAATCCAAAATTCGGATAATCGGAGTTTTACCGGAATTCCGGGAATTTTAAAGAAAAATCCTCATTTTCGGTACTAAGTGAACTTTTAATTAATAATAATTTAAATCAGAACATTTGTACAGTTTACAATGCTCATAGTACAAGAGTTCTATACAAGTTATTAAGTCAATCAATAGTGTTCCATTAAAGTCCAAAATTGGCTAAATGTGTTTAATAACAATTCTTTGATATTTTGCAAAACTTATTACTATAGCTTTACGTTTTTAAAATTGTTGAAATAAGCGATTCGGATAATTGGAGATTCGGTTAATTGGAGTTCGGATAATTGGAGTTCTACTGTATCATGAAAAGACAACAGAACAAAGTAAACCAGAATCTCCCTAAAGACGTCCCAATCAGAACCACCTATTAGGAAAAAAGGTTGCTTTATTCCAATTTAGAACAAAGCTAATATACCTGAAATTGTAACCTGGATATGCAAATGATCTGGAACTAGGAAAATGGGTGTGCTTTTGATGAAAATGTCTGTGGATTAAACACATTTTTTAAGAATTTGGAAATTCAGAATAGTTACTAATAGCCTACGTCCAGCGATTATTAAGTCTAGCCAACTCTCTATTAAGGTTAAGTTTAATTGGAAATGGTTTATTGCCTGAACAACATTTTGTTGGTTTCTCCATTTAAAATCTGTTAGGTGCAAGGGGAAGTTGTTGATCCAGGATGACCTTCTGATGGATGGATGTTCTATATATGTCTGATATATATGGCGCACCAAACATTCTAGTCTGTACATCTAACACTGGATGTTTCCATTTTATTTGTGTTTGAATATTTGACAGAATGTTTGTTTTCCCTTTTAGTGCTGAAGGTAAAAACGTTCAAACCACTTTTTTTTAGACATTGAGAAACTCCCCTTGTTAATTAATGAGTGCATATTCCAATTCAAACGTTACAGAGAAACACTGTATTCATCAGCTGTGTTACGTACCAGCCCACCAGAGTCAGCCGCCGAGCCTCCATCGCCTTCTGTATCTCTTGTTCTACCAGAGGAGCCATCTCTCTGTCGCTGAGGCGTGACCTGCACGGGAACACATGTGTGATGGCCAGATCTGTAACAAAACACTAACAGTAGATTCACATCAAGTGCTTCAACTTCAGAGATTCTCAACCAGTTCCTAGTCTTATGGTTGTGTATTTATTGCAGATATAATAAACCTCAGATTATTCCGATCATAAAACTAATGCATTGTACAATAATTAACTATCGATCGGTTCATTTTCAACCAATTTTTAAACCTCAATTGAACCATTAAGCTTATTTAATCTGTTAACTAACTGTATGTCTAACAGGGTTCAATCTCAAACATTAAATGAAAGCTTGCATACTTTTTGTAAAGTTGATAAGGGTCAGAAGCTGAGGTCGGCTACAGGCAGAATCGCTGTAACATCAAAGCGCATCAAAACAGATCACAGGATGAGAACACATAGGTAAGCAGCAGTAGCAATACTAAGGCGATATTGTGAGTGTTGTGTGAAGTACAGAGATTACTTAGGCAACGTCTGCTCTTACAATAAACTCACTATGTGCATTGACGTCCCAGTGGCCGGCCAGGTAGCCTACGACCTCCGAGGTAGTGAGGTGACAGTGGAAGTCCATCACTAGAGCTGCGTTGGTCGACATAGACACTAGGAAGGGCTGGATCTTGCCCATCACTGAGAATGGCACACTCTCCACCAGGGTATTGGGATCACTAAACATGTTCATCAGGTGTTAAACACTAATAACCAACACAAGTATACGTCTCATACCATTGCAAAATCTGAACCTTGTTTTTCACGTCTACACACTGGGCGCTAGTGTCGACAAAATTTTGTTTCTATTATTTTAAGGAAAGTTGTATGATTATTACAAGTTATTGTTTATGATTATTTTATTCGGTTGACCGAGGTTTTAAATAATTTAAATAACAAGAAACAAATTTTCAACAAAAACACGATCCTAGCGGCATCGAACGATGCCAACAATAAAATTTTCAGCTGATGCATAAGGATGACAAATCTACCAAGTTAGTATGTTTAATCCATGCAAATACTCAACAGTTGCAAAAAAAAACTTCCTACATCGGCATGCAGAGTTCTTGAGATAAATACACATAGCTCAAATCGAGAGATTTAAAAAATTACCTAAGGGTCAATGAAATCATAGAGAACATAGGCTATATTTAAATTTCAATACGAAAATCTCAATAACCTTCACTCAATAGATAAGCAGATTGCATCCATACCAATGTTGTGTTTAACTACTAATAATTATGGTACAATACCTCGTCAAGTAATCCAAATTTCTGATGTTAGGTTAACAACCTAATCTACAAGTTTTGCCGTAAATGCGGCATCGTCAGGGTTACAACAAATTAGACATCGATGTCACACGCACACAATAAATACACGAAACGCACATTTAATTTACTTGACATTGATAGGCCTATCACAAGACGCGGACGGACCCGATGCAGGTAGTAGACTGCAGTATCAGACTCCTTCCTCGTTGTCCTCGTTATCAGTACGACAAAGTTCAGGTGGCCGGTTATTTTGGTTTATTAGCACATTGAAAATAGAGTGTGCATGGAACTACAGTATTTTGTTGGGGATATGTGCACTGGCGGTGTTGTCATGGTATAATTTGTAGATTTCAAATTCCTCTAGTGTGTTACTACCTTTACTGCATGCATGTAGCACCTCTAAATCATTGGTGTTTCAGTTGGGTTTAAATTGATTACTGAGGTTTAATTGATAACTAATTAATCTACAAGTTGCCATCTTTTGATTTTGGAAATGACCAATTTGTAACGCATTTGCTATTTGCTATTATTTTTTGTGAAAACAAATTTTTGATGTCTAACTACAGCTTAATGTTGACCAGGGTCTAAGCCAAAGTGAAGAATGAATGAATGAATGAATGAATCCTTTTTATTTCATTACAGAACATCATTTACAATGGTACAAACAACAATTACTGAAATGTAATCCCCAAATGGGCTAATGCCTGTGGTTGGGGATTGAGTCCATCATCCGCACAATAAAACAATAAATTTAGGCTACTTTTAAAAATGGAAAGTAATATACATTGTACACAGAATTTTGTTTACAAGAAAAGATAAATAATAAAAAAACTAGTTTCTGAGGTAAATATATACAAAACGATACAGTGTGAAACATGAATGCACGCATATATCACGCGTTCAGTTTGCGCGTTAAATATAGGAAATGCCTTTTATATATATAGATTACCATTAGAAATAACACATAATTTGAAATGCCTGAGACTTGGCACATACATTCCACACACAAAGCCCTAACACATTCACACAGACCACTCATACCTGCACAAACTCACAAAAGAAACACACTCACCACAACATACATTCACAGCCACTACCTTCCATAGTACCCGCCCCGGGACCCACAGGCGGCTGGTAGCTCTTGTTAAAAAAGCCGTCACTGCACTGTCCCTGTGGTCCAGCCTAGCGGGGTACCCATGGCAGACCACACACACACCCACCCCAAACTCACGCACACACACAACACACACAACATACACGCACAAGACACTCACTGCAGAGTAGATCGGTTGCCGAGCATGTTGTGTTTGACCACCGGCCTCACCAGAGTCAGCTGAGGGGTAGGGGTAGCCGCTGGAGTGGGGGGAAGGATGGTGGAAGCTGGTGGCTTCAGCTCCATTTCTTCGTCTGTAACCAGAGTGGTGATAAATAAGTTGATACACAACTACTACATATTTTAGCAGTGCTTTAGTGCCCAGAATTTAGTGCGCTAGTACTAAAACCTACTGCCAATAACACCTCTGGCCCATCCTCCAGTATACCTAAAATTCTTCTACAAGGTTAATTGTGTCATTGCACAATACAAAGTAATGAATGAAATACAGTAGACCCACTCAGCCACTCAATGCAAACTGTATAGTGAAGCTTTAATACAGGTGATAAAATGTTGTATATGCTATGTAGATTACCTTCTTGCTTTGTTCCACACACCTCTATTCGCAAAACAAATAATATGGAGAGCCTATAAATAGGTCTAGTAATAAAAAAACAGACGCAACCTGAGTTGATAAGATAACGGATTTACAACTACTGCACTGACCACCACCAGTCTGGACTGAAATTCTGCCAGTTTAGTTAGTGTTGTCTGTTATTCTAACTAATCAGTTACCGTAAATGTGTCGTGTTTGTGTGTTTATCAAATTCAAATGTTTACTTTTACGTCTATTAAATGTGACGACCTTCATATGAAGAGAGAAAAACATCCTGTGTACTGCCTGATGAAGGAGCTGAAACTTTTTGCGTCTACAATTTAATGGATTGCCTAAGAAAAGATACTTAAACATTCTATTATTTGGCAATTTGAAGGCTTTAACAAGTTAAATGTATTCAAATCTTGGCATTATTGATAGTAGAATGGTACCTATTCATATCACAGAATGGTCATATTTTAAGTGTCTTCCTAAGTAAATATGTACCTATGTAACTTTTCGTACTTTCGTAAATCCTACCTGCGTCTGAGTGGTGATCGTTGTCCTTATTTTTGTTTTCAGGCTGCGGTTCGTTTTCTTTATTTTTTGTAAAAGGTTTCTTCTTAAAGAAATATTCGTTCTTGCATGCATCAAGTTTTCTTCCTTTATATTTCACCTGTAAGTGAGGTTTCATAAACTACAACTGGCATTAAAACTGTAATAGTATCCATATTCAGTCTTTTATTAAAAGAATAATTTACACATAGTTTCCAACATATTCCTTGTATATTGGATTTTTCCCTACTTGACCCATTAAATTTGTAGCCAGTTTTAGAAAAGCTAAATCTAGACATTTGCATGGGCGGATGGGCATCTATCACTATGGGCTAGGGAGCGCACAAACCCCTCCCCCCAAACCCCCATAAGACCCCACATGGTAAAAACATAAAAGTTTAATTGACAAAACAAATTAAGGGACAAAGACTTGTAACATTAACCGTTTCCTACCTAAATTTAGCCCATTTTCTGGGGGAGGACCCTCCGGAACTTCCTCTTTACTGGGGGGTTATAACTCCCGACCCCCTTCTGGAAAAGTAATATGGACACCCATGGACACTTGTAAAAGCATGGTGTTGAAAAAGCTCCCTGCCTTGTCAGGGTGCCCACAAACAATTTGTCATTAATTTCCATGACTTTCCATGACTATCCATGACCATTTACCATTACTCCATGACTCACGAACTTTACACGCAAATTATAATATAACATACACACACAAATAATACTGCCTGGACATGTTATTTTGCAGAAAATACTGAAATATGTAATAACAGATAACAATGGAGTACAATAGGTACAACAGTGAACTAAAAGAAACCGAAAACTCATAGAATAATACAACTGTAATAAATTGAATTGTCGAACATTTGTGAAAAATCCTGAAAAATGCTACAACAGTCTGGGTTACGGCTGACTAGAGCATTGAATGGTCCCCTCAAATCCATCCATAATTGGAAATTTCCATGACTTTCCATGACTTCTTGCCTATTTCCCTGACTTTCAATGACCAAAATTTTTTTCCATGACTATCCCTGACTTTCCAGAATGTGGACACCCTGCTTGTGTACTCTTTATGGTCACGTTTGAGGAGTTTGCCCCTTCTTTTGGTGTCTCTGTCTTTCTTTACACATTCCACACCAGTCATTGTCTAACTAATCAAAGAACATTTTACAAAATCTTGAGGCCAAGCATGAATTTAATATTTTTTAAATCCAGTTCTCTCACAAAAAACCAAGGAAGAATATTTTATTCAGTTAAAAAAACAATTGCATAACTGTGTTTCCACTTACAGAAGCCCATCCGCAACCAGACTTTTTGTCCGGGTTGATGATGCGTTTGCAATGTATCGCCCACGCACTCGGAGACGCAAATATCAAGTCCGTTTCGACTGATCTTATCTTCCCATCTGGCAGGAGATCACCCATAAATCTCTGCCCCTGCAATACAAACACTGTGAGTATTTATTTGTCTGTGTATAACTTATTCTGTGAGTAATTTTTGCATTGGGGCGGCCATGTGGTGAGTGATTCCGTTGATTTGTCCTGGAAATAAGACAAATGTTAAGGATGAAGGACTTTTCCGCTCTGAAACATTGTATGAGACAAAAGAGATGAAAAATATGACAAAAATGCATTATGAAGTACATAATAATCTAGGAATATTACAAATATTCAGATGAAATAAATTAGCTTAAGGATTAACAAAAATCTTTGTTTATTTTACGTCTAGACACAATTGGGGTTCATCGTACATTTTCAATCCTTAAACAATGTTTACAATTTAATTTTTGTAAACAAAAATATAATAAAAAAAATACAATACAATCAACTCAAACAATTGAAATCACATTAATAAGTTTAAAACAGGATCTTAGTTAATTTTAGTCTTAATATAATTGAAAACTAAAACAGCAAAATCAATTATACATATAACATTACACTTTTACAGTATTATAAAATACATGCGTTATTTTTTCAAGTAAATTTGGACAATCACATCGCAAAAAATCTTGTTAGTAAACAATCATTCTATGTAAAACATTAAACAAATGTGAAACTGACAAAGCTGCGGTGAATTATTAAAAATCATAGCATTAGACTGATGACGATTAACAAGCAAAGCCGATTAAAAAGAATACAACTGACACATCGTTACTTACATCGTCTGGTTTCTGAAAAGTTGAGAAACAAAACTGGAGTATTAGTAGCACAAACTGCATTAGTACTCGGGTACAATTCCACCTTCAGGTCCATCACAAGAAACATCGAGAATTAAAAACACCAAACACCGAAAACCAAGGTGAAACCATGCGAAAAGAAATGTGAGAAAGAGCCAGGTTGAGACGAAGCTCACCAAGTATTCTATCGACATGACTTGATCACCGGGGTGTAGAATCCCAGCGGCCAGGAGTTTCTGTAGAGTGACTGATCGACCGACAGTCGTAGAGGTGGAAGAGTCTGGCACTTCCTCCTAGGCGATAAGTTTGTCATTATGATATATTACGGTGTAATTTAGGAGTTAAACAGGCTATGAGACAGTTAAATGATCCGACTCATCAAGCTTGGATCATAGAATAAATCATATGAAAATTTCCAGATTTTTAGTCAGTAAATAAATTAATTTTACCTAAGGTATTTAAATTACTTTAGCTTCATTAGCTCTAAAACGCAATGCATTTTTAATTCCTATTGATTTGCAAAGTGTTATTAAAAGTATATAACTTTATTTTCACTTACTTAACTAGCTCTTAAATAATCAAGAGTGTTTAAAAAGGAGAACATTTATAATTTTATGAGTAAAATTATGAAAATAACAAGGGCTCATAAAACTTAAGTTTGGATTTTGCAAGTAAAATATGTTTCTGAGAAATCTAAATCTAAATATTTATGTTTTTTTAAGGAAGTATTATAATAAGACCGGGAAAATAGGACAGATCATCAAGAACGACAAAATGTACATCTTAGAAAGATTTGCTAAGATAAAGTCTCTGAAACCAAATGACCAATGCATTTTGCACGGTGGGGCCACCATTTGCTTGACAATGTCTGATTGCATTTTATGTTAAATAGAACAATAAAAAACTCTTTGTCACCAAGTTACGATGGTTGTCAGTGAACTAAAGTCTCCTCCATTGAGCAACGGCCAGGTAAGTACTCTTTATTTTATCCACAACTATTCTAGATAATTCCCACTGTTATGCGTTAGGCAGATAGTCTAGTCTTCGTAGCCAAAAACAATGTTAAGGAAAATCTACGCTCCTACCAAGAATTAATCTTTTCTGTGATTATATTTCTATGTTTTAAAGCAACAACCGCTAGTGAAATCTATTGGCTGTTGACAGATGTGAAGGAGTTAAAATGTTTGAATGATCAAACAAAGGTAGGGGGAAGTCGGAGGTGGTCGTAAACATTCACCCAATGGGTACAATGTTTTGCACATTCCTGCCGCGATTGTTAGTCTCGTTTGAAGAAGAGGCCAATATTAAAGGGAACTTTGCTGGTAGATCACTGTTTGACTGAACAAAAGAATGTAAAACCGATAGGGGAGGTATCTAAAAGATATAAACAAATTGTAAACCCAACAAAAGTGGTCTCTTGTCAAGCAAATGGTATGAATCTATCATCCTTTAGTGCAGATGCTAAAAATCTAAGAAAATTATTCACATTACAACAAACAACATCTCTAGCTACCTTAAAAATTAATTTAACATCACATTTCCAAACTTAAGGCAGCCAAACATGCTGGTAATATGACATAGATAAGACAAAGATTATCTGACTGGAACCATTAATCATTTGCATTTTGTACCACCAAAAGTTCATAATTTGAAAGAACAAACTTTCTTAAAAGGCACAATTTAGGCTGAAACAAAAAAGTTGCACCTCTTCCATAGCTTCTTCTTCCTCTTCATTGATTTCTGGCTCATCTTCCTGGTCTTCACCTTGACGTGGAGATGCTACAAAAGAGTCATGTTCAATATTGCCAACATTGGACCACAAAAACATCATAACCATAACCGCCCACATGGCAAATACAAATGTTGGCTGCATGAAACAAAACATATTCTGTATCATTTACTAAAAGTACACTAGGAACCGTAAATGGCAAAAGAAGACTTTGACTTCTCAAACTATTGTAAAATCAGAAGCCTATTTTAAGCCTGTTTCGTGTTTGAGACGTTTGAACGCCAGTGTTGACTACACTACGTATGTGTTTTTCTCTTATTTAGGGCTTATAAAATAGTTAGGTCCTACTCTTTAATTAAGATACCATAAAACCATGGTTTATAAATAGATTGTATTAGGCCTATTTGGTTAACATACAGTAGTTCTAAAACTGTTGACAAAACGCCCCCCCCCCCTTTAAATTAACATGACAGAATGGACTTTAAAATTCAGATATGGATGATAAATCTATTATAATGATCTTTCTTTAATAAACAAATACAGTAGGTACACATAAAAATACTATCTGACAAAGTACAAAGAATGCCTGTTGTAGTCTCACTAAAATTGTAGAAAAGATTAGAAAGATTGGCCTTCACACACTGTATATTGAGCAGGGTGGAATTTTGTACATTAATTTTTACACTGCCAACTGCCAAATATTGAATTTAGTAAGTTGTAGGCCTATAAGTGTGTGAAGTAGCTTTAGCAGTGCACGGAGGTGAAGTGCGTGTGTTTAGTACAGTAGATTCTCAGTGTTGGGGAAGCTACTTTTAAAATGTAGCTAACTACAACTACTGCTACATTTCCAAAAAAGTAGCTTAGCTACAGCTACAGCTACAGTTCCGAAAATGTAGCTAGCTACAACTACAGCTACAATGAAATGTAGCTACAGCTACAATTTTAGCTACTTTTCCAAAGACGTTACTTTTTATTCCACGCACATTAGGTAAATGTAAAATTAATTGCAACTACATTTTTATTGAACAAACATTTAAAAAAGAAATGTCAGTATTGTATCTAACATTACTTGGAAAACAAATTATTCCTAGATTGTATTTAATTTGTTGGCATAAACCTAACATTACAACAACAGAACCAAATAGTTGGGTGTCCCATCACATTTAGTACTTATTTTGAAATATTGCATTATTTTTAAGCATCTTATATGTAAATTTCATTAAGTTCAAAGGACTTACAACCAAACTATATTTTAAAAGCTCATTTTATTTCTTTAATATAGATTCATTTATAGATGTCTTATATAAACAATTAAGACCAATAAAACTTTAAAACGATTATTTAAAAATACTTTTTTGTGTTACAGAGCCTAGCCTACTGAAATTGGAGTTTATTGCATTTCTTTACTTTTAATGTTAAAAACGACATTGCTATAACTTTTAACCATAGTGATAAGTTACTTGTTCTATGAATAACACTTTTCAATGTCAAGAAATCGTCCTTTATTGTCAATATGCATAGGGCAAATTGTGCTTCAACCTAGTTGGTACAGAAAACAGTATTCAGCAACTTATCCTGAAATCGTCTTTTAATTTAAACATGTTGAAATTTGTTAAGTAAAAATAACATGTAGGCCTACTTGGCTATGTAACAAGTTGGCAATAGTAGGCTTGTTATTGCAAGGACTAAACAGATATATTCATAATAATTGAACTTGGGACTTGGTATTCGTCTTAAACCATAGCATAGCCTAGGAATAGTCCTACAAGAGCTGTTAGCAGGAGCAAACTATGCTATTTTTACTTTCTCCCCCTATACCATAGTATATGGAGAAAGTATTGTTTTCGTCAAAATTTTCGAGTTTGAGTTTTGAGTGGATATATTCGTTTTGGGTCCCCCTGGACCTAAAAAAGTGGTTTTCGAAGTGATGTCTGTGTGTGTGTGTGTGTGTGTGTGTGTGTGTGTGTGTGTTTGTATTCACCGAATAGTGGCATCCTTCACAGGCACACGGCCGTACTGTGGCACCTTCAAAAATTGTGGCACCTTTTTCAGGGTGCCACAGCTAATTCGATTATTTTCGAGGTTTTCCAGCATTATTACGTCGTTTAAACATCGCATGCCACAATTGAGTATTTTTGAACTCGTTGATGTGAGTTTAAGTAGCGCAGGTACACACCGAATTGTGGAACACGAAACCATACAGGTAGCTAGCGCGCCTCGCGCCGTCCGCCGGAACTATAAAATGCTACGTTGCCAATTCTCACGCCAGCCTACACTCGAAATAGTGGCACCATGCCACAATTCAGTATATATCAACAGTGTGTGGACAGGATGCCACTTAATGAGCTGTAGAGCTTGAGCAGTGTGTAGAACAGTGCAACAAGCAACTAATAAACTAATAATACTATACTGCCACGTACTATAAAACAATTTAAGTACCATAAATAATATACTTTTGCTCCGAGTGGTGAACAATGTTTTACATTACAAATAATTTGTGTAGTAAATAATAATTTAAATTGATTTACCTAACCCGCCATGTTAAACTTCCCTATCCCAAGCGTGATGTATACAACTTCCTTACTTCTCGAGTGATGTAAAGTATCAAAAACTCACTCGGTGATGTAAATAAACCCATTTAAATAACATTGAGTGCTTAACTTAAAAAAATAACTCTATGGAGCCAACGATGTTCAACGCTAGAAATCAGCTGTGCGCTTGAATGTTATTATTATGCTTTAAAGTATTTTCCTACCTAACCTAGCTTTTGTTAGTAAAAGAACGTTACTGATAGAAGATGAGTGAAATGGATAATGAAAAATATTGTACGTAAACCCATGTTTATTGTCGGGTCAGGTAAAATCTTGTACGTTACACGTTACGCAAGAGCGTGCTGTTTACATCACTTAGGTGAATTATGCAACTCGCTTCCGCTCGTTGCACAACATTCACCTGCGTGAAGTAAAAACGCTCTTACTACACTTGTAATGTAAATAGTTATTACGCAACCATTAAAAAATTGATTTTTGTTTACAAACATAAATTGGTAACGTAGTTATTTTGTATCAATTGAATTTGTACACTGAAACGATAACAATGTTTGAGGTTAGAACGCTATATAAGTTGTCCTAGACTGTTTTTTTTTTTTTTTATCTTACAAACTATTTCGTGCTGATACATCTATTTTTTTTTAACATTTTAGTCATGTTGACAAAATATTTTGCAATTACATTTCTGAATCAGTAAAGGTAGATTTCGATGCATCATTGCTGAAAGTTATGTTTTGCTTCTCACTCTCAGAGTATTCCAAAGACATCTAATGTTTCAATCCATTTTCAAATGTTATATGAGGTAAACATATAACCGAATCAATTAAAGTACTTAAATTAAAATACATATTATTATCAACACGTATAATCTAGTTCAGATTATAATATCATCTCACAATCATATTTGTAAAACCTACTGTGGTGTTTTAACCAGTCCCCACTAACAAAAGCATAAAATGAAAGGTCCTAAAGAGGTTAACATTGAGTCATAACAAAAGTAGTTTAAAAGTTGTAACCGTGATACTGTAAATAATTTGATATTGTTAGATATTATACGATCGTTTTACAATTTTGTCAATCTATATGTTACTTTCATACAAATGTATTTTTATTATTCAATGTTTTGTTTTGTAGAACCTTTAGTATTCTCAACTTTATCAATAACTAGTAGAATACCCGACCTTCGTACGGGGTTGGCATATAAGTAGAACATGATCATTGCAGTGATGGGAGAGGAAACGGTCTAAGAAATTATGGTCTTTTAATTTATACGGTATCCTATAGTGTGGCACACATATACCTATAATAAAAGAATGTGTTTAATGGTATGCACTGTAAACGAAAACCTATCACAATAGTTCCAAACATGTTAATAGGGCAATTTTCTAAGATGTTTTAGTGAAATTATAATCAGGCAAACGGGAATTGGCTCAGTCTATAGGTTTGCTGGGGCAGGGGGATTATATTACTGTTTACAAACAAATAAATCAAAAGAATATGCCCCATAATTTAGGATAAGGGCCTAGGTTGATAGGGCAATATAGAATGTTGATTATTTCCTATATCCATTGAATGATTTATTTTAAAATGAATTATTATAAAAATAAATAAATAATATTACAACATTTCACAAATATTATAACAGACTCAGTATAGTTAAATCATAAACAAATGAAGTACTGTAACTTAAACAATCCTATAATAATGAAATTACATTAACATATGGTTTGACAGCTCCTTTAGGTAATGTTAAATAAATTCAGGCTAGTGACATCATTATTTTAAATTTATAATCCTTACCCTCTCTGTTCTAATATTCGTGCAGTATTTAATAAGGTTTGAACCAGCTGTGTTGAATTGAGAAATCAAAATCAATTTGACAGTTAGTTCTGCTTGTTTACATTTTTAAACTTACTAGGTTTGTTCTTTGTTACCATGGATACCATCAATCAATATTTACTTTTAAATCTCTCATCTAAGATTTTTGAAAGCCCACGGGGCAAAGCCCTAGGTGAATATCGAAGCGGTAATAGTTCTATATGTATCCTAGGAGCTGTAGCTTCATTTGTGTGCAATTTGAGCATAGTCGGATCAGTATTTTTTGAGATTAGCTCATACAAACACACACACAGACACCCCCTCTTCTTTATAATAGTATAGAACTAGCTGTGTACCCGTTCTACGCACGGGGATCTTATAATATTCAGTTGAAACCTTCTTATATAAAGAACAGCAGTTGGTTTGCATATTTTAAGATATGCTGGCCAAACTATTATACATAGCTTCATTTTATGTTGTTTTTTGTTGTTCCGGATCGGTATGACAATCAATAAAAGGTTAAATTACCTCTGTGTCTGCCGGTCGATCCTATAACGGTAGGCTTACTTTTATTTTTACTATCTGATCTCGTTTGCATGGCTCAATCACGTCCTGGTTGAAGTTCGTTCGCTACGCTCACTCACCTGTATGTTGGAGCTCGTTCGCTGCGCTCACTTTCCTTC